CAGATCTTGCTTTATAACAGACTGAGAATTTAAGCCCAATTTATATGCCATTATTACTGTCTATAACAGACATTTTTCCTAATACTAAGCCAAATGGTGAGAGTGAATTGTATGTGCGTTTGTATACTAACTGTAATTTTTTAATATATATGCCTCCATCACCAACAGGGATAGTTTCAAAAACTCTTGCTTCATGACTCCCATTATTAGCAATTTCATTGACTTCTTCAGTTCAAAAAATGGAAATTGGTGTGTATTTAAAGACAAGTAACGAAAAAATATCTCTCAGAAATGTCATTGAAAATCTGAGACAACCAGAGGAACATACAGCAGAAGGGGTACAATTACAATTGGTATTTATGATTCTAGAGGGGATGGTTATACAGAAAATTTCAGTGCTAGCAAAACAAAAAAATAATAATATTTATATATTTTTAATATATGTCTTTATATATTTTTTAATAAATATTACACTTTATACTTGATTAAAAGTAATAATACCAATATTTCTTGCTTTGAGATCTTCCCTAACCTTGATCTTCTGATATCTACTTTTTCAAGTATATAAATGAATTAGAAGAAATTCAAGTTTTGATAATAAACAAGCATAACCTTTATCCTTTAAAGAGTTCTAAACTCAGAAGGAAAGCTTTAACTAAAGTCAATGTGACAAGATATAAAAACAATATACCTGACTACAGCATACCATTAATAAATATCTTTACACAAAAGATCTTACACAAAAAATTGTCCTAAATTAATAAACAAAGAAAATCAAAAAACACAAGAGGAGGATATGATTCTAAAAGGGCTTTACATTGAAAATATTTAAAAGTTTTAATGAAAAGGGATTTTGCAGATATTTTGAGAATAATTTGACTGGCTGTCCATATTCAATATTCAATTCAAAATCACTGATCCAAACTTGAACATTCCAGTAAGTTCTAAATTGTGCGGCATCAATATCATTTTTATTGCTATGTTAATAAAACTTTTAAGCATATGTATTTCTCTACCTGATCATATCAAACTGATGAATGCATGATATCATTATTATAGTACAAATGGCTTGATCAAAGTTTTGACTGTAATTAATATTGCCAGTAGATTTTCCATCTCTATCTCTTATTTCCAATAAACAATTGAACAGTTCAATCACTGTAAGTTTGGTGAAAACAAAACCATGAGTCATTTATTCAGTTCTACTGAGGTCCATATTTATACCATTATTTGAACCTTAAAAAATAAAAAGTACTTAATAAATTAAAATTAACACACTAATAATGGAATTTTTATTTACCATAACCATAAAACATTCTCAAGATGATGAAGTTATTTCTACATGGAGGGATCCTAGATTTTCTAAGACAAGTTCTTCCAGCATGATTACATTCATTATTAATTAAGCATGCACTTCTATACTGATCCACTAAAGTGTGTCCATAATATAGATGACACTCATTATAGTTTGTAACCAATTGAAAATATTATTTAAATTAACACCAGTGAGGTTGATGATGCTTTTGAAGATGAAGAGTTTGACATTAACTACACTGATTGGTGCTCTGTGGTGCTTGACAAATTTTTAGTGAATCATTCTTTGAAATGAGAACCATGTCATTGTTGATGTTAATATTGACATGATGTTGCTTTTGCTATCAGTATTAATTTTGGTTATTATTAAAATAAAATTTGTTTAATAATACTAGCAACACACATGCATAGTATATAATTTTAAAGATTGCCTTCAGAAATTTATAATGAAAAACTCTTTGTGTTAATGGTATAAGACCATTACTATATTATTTATTAATGATTGAGAAATTCTGAAAAAGAACAATTGAGTTAATACCACTCCTATATCTGATGTTGCATAGTGAAATTTTGGAGTTTCTTCATGTGTGTGTATGTAAAGATCGCACAATATTTTTCACAAATTAATAATTTATGTGACATAAAATATTATTGGCTGGAACTGATGACGAACATGTGCAATGCTATATTTTTTGACAAAACAATATTTGATATGATTCAAAGAGACGTTTTTTACTAGTTATTGTTTCATACTGATTGACTTTATTGGTTTACAATAACCTAAACATCAACATCAAAGTGATGTGGAAACAAAAATTGTGTTTTACATAGTGAAGGTAATTATTTATCATGATATAAATGATTGACATGCTTTTTCATTATCATTGTTAATATTAACATTAATCATAATAACAAGAAATTAGAGGTGAGAAAGCAATGCAATCTCACTCTCACATATAGAAAACACAATATGTGCTTGGGCATGAAACAACTTAATCTGCAACAATTATGTTTGGTTAATTGAAAAACTTATTCTTTTGGCTCCTATATCATATAAGGCTAATTAACCTTTGAACTCCCTGACGATATGATGATGTGAATATACTTTCAGAGAGGGAGCACAGATGGCTCTGAAGTTTTGAATACATTGCATCATTGTCAGATTGCTTAAGGCAATGACACACTCAACTTGCCTACTACTACAAATGATTTGAGAGCTTGGATGTAAAGATGAATAAAAATAGGGGGTAATGTAATCAAGACACGATTGTCATTTTCAGCATAATCTGTCAGAATCAAATGTTGATCACACTCTAAAGACTCCAGAGTATCAGAATATTTGACTGAGAGAAGGTCTGACTTCATTGATGGCATTGCTGCAAGACATCGATAAATGATGGCTTCAGCAAGTTCATTGTGATCAATAGCCCATGTTGTGATTGCATACATATTGTCAATGTCTCTTGCCACATTACTGTGGATTGCATTATAATCCAACAAATTGATATCTTGAAAAAATTTTTCTGTCCTTTCATATCTCTTTCCAAAGCAGCATTTCAATAAACACTCAATTGCTCGTGGGAGTCCACCTGTATCACATAACAAAAAATACATCTGTTCTTGCATGCTCCATACATCTGAAGGAAAGCCTTTGCTATTTGCAAAATGGTTCACTATGTCAATTCGTGATTGCATATTCAGCAGAGAACAGTTGACAAATTCAAAAGTGTACATTGTAGGTTCCTTTTGCCGAATTACACTTTGTGGTGCAGTTCCTGAGAGGAAAGGCTGAATGAAGCTTAAGTTGGAATTACCAATCATAAATCTTCCAACATTGTATAATATGCCCCTGAATATACCCTTGGGGTTACCATTAATATCTTTCATCATATCAGTTTTCCAGCCCTTAAAGTCAAAGATGGTCTGGAATTCATCAATGTGTAAAAATAAAAAGAGAAGCTGATTGCCTGTAAGGTCTAGATGCTCACGAATTCCAAGGACCACATTATCAGTATAAAAATATTTTTCCTTGTTGAGTGTTAGAACAGTCTGGCAAAATGTTGGAAATGTCACACTATAATTGCTTTGGGTGAAGAAAGCATATGCAATCCGCAGACCAACAAGTATTTCTATTGATAGTTTGCTATCACTTCCATCCAATTGAACACTATTGCTGAAGTCAAGGAAAATATATTGAAATGAAATTGATTGTCGAATGATTAATATTTTTTCTTTTTCCCATAACGAGTTTTTCCTGAAATGAAATCAAATGTTATCATTAGAATGTGTTCAGAAAACAGAATAATAAAAGACTTAACACTGATACCTATTCCAGGAGCCCCCCCAGCCACAAGAATTCTGAAATTTGACTTGGCCTCAGGGATCCCCCTCCCTTTATTTTTCTTTGAATTCTCAATATTGTTTTGAATTTTTTCTAAATCATTAGAAAAGTTGCGGCATTTTAGTGGAATGTCATTGGTTTCAGCAATTTCAGAAGATTTCTTTAAAGTACTGAGGTTTGACAAAATCATGTTCATAACGTCCTTGAATGATAAAAGACGATCTATAAAAGCAAAAATTTTTTTAAAAGGGTACAAATCAATTATAAATAGTGTATTAATATCAAATAAATAAAATGGAATGAATGAAAAATAATTTTTTTGTATATTTTTTTATGCAATTTATTCATTACCTTTTCCTTCGTGTAGACTCTTTCTGCACTCCAACACCTCATCTTCCCACTCCAACACCTCATCTTTCCACTTCTTTCTCTCATTCCTCAACTCCTCCTTTTCCTCTTCTAAATTTTTTTGTTCACCATCATAATCTTCTTTTGCTCCTCTCCTCAACTCTTCCAGTCTTTCCAACCTCTTTTCCACTTTCTTCAATCTTTCTTCAGCATTTTTTAACTGTTTTTTATTTTCATCATAAGTTGCCATTTGTTTAAAATTTAAAATTAAAAAAATTTTTTTTTTATTGATTTAGATTGTAATTTTTATAATTAACTATTTTATAAATAATTTCGACCAATAATAAATTAGTGGACACGTGACTTGGAATTAAAAAAAATTTTTTATGTTAATTTTTTATTATCACAAGGGTATTATTAATATTTATGGCATTTCACAAGATCCAAATACAAAAGAATATGTTCTTGTAATGAGATATGCAGCTGAAGGTGATTTTAAAACATATTTAAAATCAAATTATGCAAGACAGAAAGGATGGAATGATAAAATTAAAAAACTTTATAACATTGTCTCAGGTTTAAACACACTTCATCAAGAAAAACTTATAAATAGTGATCTTCACAGTGGTAATATTTTATATTTTCAATATTTATTCCAGGAAATGCTTACAGATTTAGGGTTATCAGGCTCAACTGATCAAGAACCATCAAGTAAAAATGTTATATTTGGAGTACTGCCATATGTTACATCAGAAGTTTTAAATAAGAAACATTACATCAATATCACCCATAATTGTATCTTGATCAGAATCATGTTTGTCAGGTAAAATATTTGTTTTTTCCAACATTTTCTAATATTACTAGTTAAGAATAGTTGGCGAAATACTTTGCAGGGCAGGGAATTATTTTGTCAAACTGTTGTTAATTTCGTCGCATTTGACGAAATTGACAAATGTGACGAAATTGACGAAATTGAAGTTGACCAATTAAACCGACCAAATTTTCATCAAGGGTATGGCCAAATATTGATTTTATATATATCAGGTATAGCGATGTCACCAAAAATGATTTAGATTCGGAACCCTTTGCCTTATCATCATGATAAAAAAGAATTGAGAATAATCACATGGTAAATACCCTGCATATTGAATTGCTATATAAAATGCCATGTACAGTGTGATTCAAAAAAAATGGTGGTTGCTTATTTGAATTTATTAAAAAAAAAGTTCTCATTTACTTATATGATAAATGTGATTGGATATGATTGTTTACATGATAATCAGTCTTCGTATATGTTATTACATTGTTTTTTCTTTACCTTTTAACCTTCAAGCTTTGTAAAGAATGGTTAACGCAAAATTAGAAGCACAACGTAAGACTATTTTTCATTTTTGGATGAATGGTATCCATTCACCAAAAGAAATACATGAAAAAACAAACATACCTCTCCGTACAGTTGAGAACAACTTAAAAAAACTAAAAGAAACTGGATCTATTGAACATAAAGGTGGGAATGGTCGTCCATTGAAGGTTACACAAAATCTATCACGTTCCATTGGGCAAGTTGTTCGCCATAATACTGCTATTTCAACACACCAACTTGCAATTAAACTCCAAGTAACACACAATGTGTCTATTTCGCAACCTACTGTTTGGCGACACATGAAAAAAAAGGTTACAAAAGTTCTGTCCCTATTGGAACTCCAATGCTAACCACTCGTCACTTTGAAGCCCGAATAGCATGGACACAAACTCATTTGAATGACAATTGGAGCCATACAATATTTACAGACGAGACAGCATTTGATCTTTTTCGTAACAAAATTCGTAGATGGCACAAAGATGGACAGAGACCAGTTCGCAGATTGCCAAAATCACGGCAAAAAGTAATGGCATGGGGAGGAATTTCGTTAAAAGGTAAAACGCCATTATTTTGTTTTACTGATATTATGGATGGGCCTTATTATGTCAACATATTGCAGACCCAGCTTTTGCCTGCTGCACAAAGTTTGTATGGTAGAAGCTGGCGTTTGCAACAGGACAACGATCCAAAGCACACATCGCATGTTGCAAAAGATTTCATTGCTGAAAATAAGATTAATACAATTGACTGGCCATCCAACAGTCCTGATCTCAATCCAATAGAGAATATATGGTACATTATGAAGAATAATGTTGAAAAAAGGATTCCTAGAAATGTTGATGAATTGAAACAATTTATGGTAGAAGAATGGGAGAAAATTCCTCAGGAGACAGTTAAAAATATTATTATGTCTATGAAAAGAAGATGTGAGTTAGTTTTGGAAAAAAATGGTGATAGAATTTCTTATTAATTTCTTATTATTTAATAAAATAGTTTATAAGCTTTCAAATGAATATATTTTTATTTAATTATGTTATGTAATTGTTGAGTTATGTAATATTTTTGCGACCACCATTTTTTTTGAATCACACTGTATAATACAATCAATAAAATTATTAAAACCCTAGGTTCTTGAAAAATGTACTTTGAGCATATGCATCAATTTTGTTTGAACCTCAAAATTCGGTATGGTATGCTCATAACATTATGAATACCTTATACTAGCAATAATACATTAGTTTTGAGGTAGTGCCATTAGTTTGACGGGCCATAAAATAGTAAAATGTTTTTTTTTTTGGCGGAGCAAATCACTCTACTCACCAGTTCCACACACACAATAAGATATACATGTAAGCTAATTAAGTCGGATGCAACATCAATTGTTTAAAATAAATAAATGACCGACCTATCGAGTTTACATGTGTGAAAAAAGGGCCCAAAAAACAAATCGGCTGTTATGGTAATTACATATTACCAGCAATTTTCCCATCAACATCCTTGTCCAAAGTTGATACATGATGTTAATATATTGGCTGAAATGTTAAAAACAATCAATATATGTACATGAATCAATCGTCCATCATGTCACTAAAATTTATTATTTAGTGATCAGTGAGTATCACAAGTATCTGATTTGATTGGCTAAACCAATTTCGCCAAAAGATCATAATAAATATGAATTTCGTCAACCATTCTTAATTAGAACCATGATATTTATTGTTACTTTTCATATACACTTATCCCTATATATACAATTTTATGTTCACTTTGTAGGTATTCATTTATTTTAAAATTGAGGAGATTCTAAAATTGGTCTTGTGGTGATTAAATTTGAGTGGAGCTGCAAATAAATATCAGAAACATTTTCAAGTATATATTCAATAATTGATATAATAAAGAAAATAAAAATCCTCGTTTGGTTCCGATGAAAAATCATTTAAGTTATTTATTATTAATAAAAATAGATAAGATAAACCAATTAGAATTTGATAGTAAAGGCGGTTAATAATATCCAGTGTGATGGGTTCAAGATATTTAATTGCATCTAGCAGTTTATTTTATAAGGACGAAGGTAAAACAAAAGTATGCTTGCATTCAATAGTTCTAACAACAATTTAATTATCAATCATGAATTTGGGTTTTTTTATCAAATCAAATGGTTTTAGTCCATACAACCTGCACCAAGCGTCAATGATTAATTTTTGGGAGAGCGAATTTAATCAATGACAATAAAAACAGTAGATCACGAGGTCAAACCAGGGTATTTACTAGCAATTGTTTTGGGTATGATTTGATTATCAAGTCGAAACTTGTTTATTCAAGTAAATTATGAAAGTTAGTTCAAAAGTACATCGAATTAAAGCTGTTATATACACGTCGACTTAGTCTACCTTTGTGCTTTGTCAACTCGGTCAAATTTATTGACCCTGGCGCTACATAAATTACCAATACTTAATGCACATGGTATAACAAAAACATCAATAAAAAATAAGCTTATTATTCATTCTTTAAAACAACCGGCGACGATGACATTAAAAGAACATGCCCAAATATGAGTTGGAGGATAAATGAAAATCCCTGCTCGCAATCGGCAATACTCATCAGTGGCTCTGAGGCCGAGTATTTGCAATTGCTCTGATTTTATAATATTTAATATTTATTATATATATACAATGAATCATGATTTGATTCGATTCGGACTCGGATTCGGATCGATATATACTATTAATATTAATATTGTTTCAACAAAACATAATTAAATTTAAAAATTTTTCTTCGCATATAAAATTCGTTGAAATGCAAACTCTCATGTGTCCCATATTAATATATACATTGAAGTGAGATTCGACGGTATTTTTCTTATACTAGTTATAAGCATATTTTATTTTAAATTTAAATTTAAAAATCCGGTTTGATCCGATTCGTCTCGGACGAAGCCTTGTTACTACTATCTTTCTATTAATAATAATAAAATTATTAAAACCTGAACTTTTAAAATCATGAGGCAAGTTTTCTTTTTTCTTTTTTTTTTTTTTTAATACTAAAAAAAAGGTCACGCACGTATATATTTGTTAACGATGTTGTTTATCGATTATATTTACTATTATAATAACAAATAACCATCACCGCCACCACCATGTATATTTATATTTAGGGATGTTAATCGATTATACAAAAAACGATTTTTCTGCAATCGACTATTACTATTACTATCAATTTAATCGAAAAATCGAAAAAAATTGTGTTAAATAAATTAACAGAAGCAGTAGTAATGAATGATAATGACAACAACAATAATAGAAATAGTAATCATAATAATAGTATAGTAGAAAATGAACCATTAAAATGGTGGTATATATGACAAATGAAAAAAAATTCCCAATACTTGCTATTTTAGCCAAAAAATATTTGGCAATTCCCTTTTTCATCAGTTCCTTCGGAAAGACTTTTCTTTGATGCAGGACAACAAATTACTTTACGAAAATTTGTTGATGATAAAAAATAAAATTTTAAATTTTATGTTGTAAATAAAACGGGATTTATTGAATCGATTTTGGGCATGTGACCTAGATTCTTTCATTTTATTATTACTGTAAATATGTAAAGTTGTTTAAATCATAAGCATAAAACAATCAAAAGTTACTACTACTATTACTATTTGCAATGTAAAAATCGATCTTTTCGATTTGTCGATCAATTCATAATAATAATCGATATAATCGATTGCGAAAAATTAATCGATTAGCATCATTTCATATAACAGATTATTATTATCTTTTGTTTTTTAGATTCTGTCAGCTCGATGATTGCTTTTTTATCTTTAGGAAATAGGATAAACATATCCATCTATTCAAACATGATTTAATTGTGCTTGAATTTTAGATCATGACGCCAACATTTTCCACCGATCCTTGTCTTCCATCTATAGAAAGGTCTTACTTGCGGCGAATTTTCCACATCTCCAATTAAAACATTTTGTCGTTTTGATAATGTAAATCACTTTCAGCATATTAATATTGAAATACTTAACAAAAGCCTTTGACTTTTTATGTGGTTTTAACTAGAAAATAATATTGAATAACATAATTACATATTTCTTACATCATAAAATTAGTCCAGATTAAACGGAATCCATTTAGTATAATTATATCTTTGACTAATTCTTCATTTTCACAATCCATTACATTTTATTAAAAAAAGGAATCAATGATAATGTGGATGTAAATATTATGACAAAAGACGTGACAACTAAATTTTCAGATAGCAAATACGAGTTTCTTTCTACGCGTTCAAATAATATTTTTCTTGTTGATAATTTTAGGATCGAACTATCATTTAACTCTCTCTATAACGAACCTTTCTCCCGTATATGTAATTTTTCTGCCTTTGTTCGTCATAGAGAGAAATTAATTGTAAAAAAATGAATCGGGAACAAAAGGGAAGTTTATTATAGAGAGAGTGAACTGTATAATGCATCTTTCCAATAGCCAGAACATAATGCATGTTTTTAATCAAGAGGATTATAATGATCAAATGATAGATGAGAGAGATTCGGTTGTTTTCGTTTTCACAAAGTAATTTTGGATTTTATTTATTTATGTACAGGAAAATAAAAAAAAATAAAATAAATAATACATTGTTAGAGATAAAATAAATGTTTACTGTTTTTTTCTGATATTGAAAATTTTACGCAATTTCGAGAATTTCTTATTTTGCCTTTTAATGCTGACACCATCGTCATTAACATTATCACCAAAATCATCACTATTTCTTTTATCGTCAGCTTTGTTAGTAGTTGAATTAATAATAGTGGAATCATAACCATCATTATTGACATTTCTATTATTGTTGCCTCTGCCATCAACTACATTATTACCACCACCGTCGTCATTATCACCATCACCACCACCATTATCATCACCATCCTTAATCTTATCACTCTCGACATTATAATCGCTCTTATAATTGCCACTATCATCATCCTTAACCTTATCACTATCAACATTATAATCGCTCTTATAACAATTGTTACCATCATCATCCTTAATCTTATCACTCTCAACATTATAATCGTTCTTATCACAATTGTCAAGATGATTCTTTGACAAAAATTCTTGATGACCATCATCATCCTTAATCTTATCACTCTCAACATTATAATCGTTATTATCACAATTGTCACCATCATCATCCTTAATTTTATCACTCTCAACATTATAATCGCTCTCATGATTGCCACCATCATCATCCTTAATTTTATCACTCTCAACATTCTCTTCTGGAGGTTCTGGAGGTTCTGGTAACTCTGATGGTTTATTTAGTGAATCAGCTTCTTCAATTAATCTACCAAGTGGACGACTAATATAACACGCGTCTCTATGGTATTTGTCATTCTCTTCATTCGAAAGATATTTTTCCGACTTGACAATTTTTTGACGTTCCAATTCTGCTTTTTCGATTACTCCGCCTTCATATGGTAAAAGATGTTGATTTCGTAAACGTACATAAATTTCTTCACCAGTTGGTCTATTATCAGGATTGGGATCCCAACAACTCTTCATCAAATCAGCATAGAAATCAGGTGTGTCCTCTGTAATTTCTGGTCTTTTTCCCTCCCGAATATTTGTTATCAAAAGGTGGTCATGTGGTATATTATAAAATGGTTTTTTTCCTGTGGTGAATTCCCACATTATCATACCAAAGCTATATATATCTGATTTTTTTGTATATGGTTCGGATGATAATACTTCGGGAGCTAAATAGGGGATGACACCATAAACTTCTTTTGAATCCTTGTTTTCAATAACTTGTTGACATAATCCTAAATCTCCTATTATACCAGTATCTAATTCGTTAGTTAAAATATTACCACTGTGTAAATTACAATGTATGTAATTTTCTGCATGTATTTCATTTAATCTAATTATTTAAAAAAAAATCTTTTAATTATTTTAAACAAGTTCAGTATTTTAAAAAAGAAAGTCATGACTTACTTACCCTTTTAAAATATGAATAAGTGATCTTAATTTTTTTGGCCAGGTAATTTCTTTAAATTTTTTTGATAAATAATCGTGTAAACTTCCATCAAGATCACGATCAAATACCAGCATATATTCATTTTCATTTGGATCTTTAGTGACTCCATAACATTTGTTTATTGTTTTTAAGTCTTTATTACTATTATGACATATTTTCTAAAATATTACGATAATAATAATAATTAATAATAATTTAGAAATTATAAGAGATAATTCTATTATTATTATCATATAAAGTTTACCTACCTCCTTTATAATATCCATCATTTTATTTTGGTTATATAATTTTTTTAATACAACAGCCTTTTCTTCATATTTGTAATTTGAATCATTAAAATAGTTAATCCAAATTGCTTTGTAAACATCTCCAAATCCACCTTCAGCCAAAAGCTCAACACCCTTAAATTCCTCAAATGGAACCCATTTGGTATAATAATAACAATGAAGATATATTGCTAATTCTTGATTTCCACATTTGTCAGTTAATTTCTCGATCTTTTTTTTATCACATTCATCACATATTGTCCACATATATAATTTATTATTTAATGTATATATTCTTTCAGTCAATGTATTATTAATTCTTGCTAAATCGTTTAAAGGCTTTTTTTTTAATTCGTCAATGAATTCATCAATTAAACCATGAATTTCTTCGTCCTCTAATTCTTTTTTTTTACATTTAGTACAACTTTCTATTATTTTCAATGTCTCAATTAATTCATTCAATAAATCATTAATTCTAATTGATCCGTTATCTTCTCTATTAATTATCAAGCTATTCAGTTCATTTAATTTGTCAATTAGTTCGTTCAGTCGATTTGATAATTTTTCTGAATCCATTGATTTTATTTTTTGATTAAAATATTTCTTTAAACTTTTAGGGAGATAATTTAATCAATTATACGGAAAAAGAAAAGATAGTTAAATGTTTTTGAATGATACCCAAATTAGGTTTTTGTTTCATTTTCACAATATTTGTTACAAGTAAATAAAAAAACTGAATATTTTCCGACCACCATCACCATAATTATTCTAAATAGTTGTAATCATTGACACCAATGGGATCTGAGGGCTTGCTGGTATTTCCCATGATTAAAATAATGAAGATTAGATGGCTAATAGTTTTTAGATGTTGAAGATCCCAACCAATAATGGTATAAAAATTGAAAGGTTTTTGTTGGTGACAATAATGGTAACGTCATATTGTTGTAACAAAATGATACCACCAAAATATTTAATTTTATTGTTACAAACAAATATATAAAATAAATAAAAGTAAATAAATTAATCGATACTACCATCCATCCCTTTATTTTAAGCTCATTAGTATAAAAACTGAATCGTATTCGTTAAAGTATTTTGTTGGACTTTTTTTATTTGAAATCATTATTGGTCAAAATTATTTTGTGAATTAGCTTTATCAATTAATTTACAGAGCGAGTGACTTGTGCGGAATGCGCCCAAATGATGGTGTTTGTAATTCTTTGTATCTGAATGGTATTTTCCTGAATTAATAATTTCTTGTCGATTTTTTTTTTTCTCTAGACACTCTTTAACTTCTTTGGTATTTGGTCCAGAATATCTGTTATAAAGTGATGATTATGTAAAAAAGACTTTTTGCCTGAGGTATGTTCCCACATTATCATCTCAAAAAATCTGTAAACATCTGCTGCCAAACAAAGATATAACCAATCCTAGCACTAGTACTAAAATATATATTGTGTAAAAAAATATTATCACAGCGTATTGTATCCGTCCGTAACGTTCGTTAATATTGATAAAAAACTTATTCCATCATTTTATTTTTAAAAACTTTACTCCTTTTGTAACATCTGGATTTTAGTACAACAGCCTCCTTTAGCCAAATATCCATAATATTTTAAACTTATTAGAGAACTAGTAGGTATACGGAAATATATTTCCATATTACAACTTGCTATTTAGTTATTTTCCCATACTCACTCGTGTTCGATTTGCATATTTTTGATGTAAATTATTTTAAATTATTTATTAATTTGCTATATATTCGTGTTTTTTATACCAATATCAAGTAAAAAACTTATTAAATTTAAATAAACATAATTTGCTAATATTATCAGCTACGGCCATACATAGTGAAATGCACCGGAACCCGTCCGATCTCCGAAGTTAAACCACTAATGGCTCAGTCAGTACTATGGTTGGGGACAACATGGGAATACTGGGTGCCGTAGCTTTTTTTTTTTACATCCATTTTTGGAAACACGATTTCCATTCTTATTGGACAAAAAATAATCATCATCATCAATTTTTTAGAATTTCCCACGAATCACATGATCCAGCCAAATTGTTATACAATCATTGCAAAAAAAAAAAAAAAACAATTAAAAAATTTTTTTTTTAAATTACATAATCAATTGATCATTTTATAAGTCGTATGATTTCAGAACATGCTTTTTTACGATCATAAAATTTGACATGTAAATCAATTTTAAGGATTTTTTGTGACACTCACCGTATTAAAAAATTACATGTGAAAAAGAAAAAGAAATCGAACGATCCAACAAAGTTACCAAGAACAAATAAACAATTCGGCTTCGGCCACAAGTATCAATATTGCTGACAAAGCGAATATAAAGAACTGCGAGTTATAAAGTAACCAGTTTTCTTGTTATTGGTCGAAACTAGTAAACAAAATTTTGCGCCTTGATTATAGGAAACAATCTCTTATTTTCTTTTATTATTTAATTTTAAATTTAATTTAATTTAATTTAATTTAATATGGATACCATTGAAGATATCAAAAAAGAGTTGAAAAAGGGGAACGGGGGGAAAAGAATTGAAACCAAAAAAGAAACAAGCGGGAGGATTACGAGATGCATAAACAAATTTCATCTGAAATTTTTTTATTTCCCACCCACAGTTTAACTAACCGCAGTTAATTAAACTTTTATATGTCAAAACCGGTTTGAAACGTGTGATTTAAACTGGCTTGATATTCTGGTTTTTGTAAAGAACAAACATCTAAAATAAAACAATTCATTCTATGTATAACTAAATAAAGAATTTTTATTTATTGTCACACTGTTTTGGCAACCGTTAAAAATTAACTACAACCAATCATAAAGAAAATAATGTAGTACTTAATTAACTTCAATAATAAATAAAAAAAAATTTTATAAAAAAAAAAGAAATAGAAACAATTACATAGAAATAATGTATTTGATATCACCAAAATCAATAATTGTTACAATAATATTTTTACTTTCCTTACTGACTATAGTATCATCTAACAATGACGATGATGGTCACTTAATGAAAAGAGGCAAGTGTTATATGCTAATTAGGAATTATTTATCTTCATCTTGATTTGTTCTAATCAATCCTTCTTTACGCTTTTTAATAATAGAGCCACAAAATCAAGTGACAACAAACACCAATACTCCAAAAACAACACCGACTGAAGTTGATCCAACGGTTCCAGCAGTACAAGTGATAATCACCGAACCCGCTTCGCCAAAAAATAATATCTATAAAATAGGATTTAACATTAAATTTGGTTGGAAATACTCGCAAAATTTTTCGATATCTCCGGAACAAATTAATGTATTTGCAAAAACACAGTCGCAACAACTTTACACAGTTGCTGCAAACCTCACAGGAAATACAACTGAAGTAATCTGGGATACTTCGAAACAATCATCATCCGGTAGTGGTAGCCTGCCAATGAGTACCTATAGGTTATTTATATTTGATGAACGTGGCATTGACGCCCCTCCGTCACCGGGTCGTTTACAAGCATTTTCTGGATTGAATTTCTATTTGTATACGCCGGGTGGAAGAACCGACCTTCCAGGTTTGTTCTGTGTATTATATTATACCTATAAAATATTGATTTGTTGTTTCTCTTTTTGATCAATAAATCAATCAATCAATCAATCAATCAATCAATTTCTTGTATTATTTAGAATATACATGTGCTGTTTGTCAAGGTGATGCAACTCAAAATGGTTTACCGTTTATGCCACTTGTTATTACATGTAGCATAGTTGTTTTCACAACTATAAGAATTATACTAAGATAATTAGGTAATGGATTTTATGAAGATTTCATTTTTTTATTTTTTTTAACTAAATTAAATAATAAGGATCAATTCAATTTGAAAAAAAAAACTTTTTTTTTTTTTTTTTTTGAGTGGGAAAAATTTTAATTTATATTAGTCTATTACTTTTTCTATAAATAAATATTACAGACTTTTTGTAAAAACATGATGTAATGGTGTGATGTAATATTTTTTCATGAGGAAATTAATCGTCATTATCAAGTCTTAGCCAATAGGAGTATTATTTGAAGATTTTTTTTGATTTAAATAGGATAGGAAGGACGGATCAAGTAAAAAATAAAAGAGAATTATTTGTTTTTTTCGCAAAAATAAATAAAAAAATAAAATAAAATAAAATAAAATAAAATAAAATAATATAATAATAATAAAAAATAAAAAATGAATCCATATTATTCTACCAACAACAACAACAATAATAATCCTCAAACTACAGATGCTTTTTCAACAACAACATCAAATAACTTTCCCAACTTTTATAATAAATGGGACTATATTATTGATGAAAATCACAACAACAATGTAAAGACTCCCTCTTCTGCCGGTTCTTCTTTATTATATAAACTATATAATAATAACAATATTCGAAAAACCGATGACGATCAAAAACGTAAATTGGAAATGGTGGAAGACGTTGCCCAACAATTACCAACAAAATTAAGTCGTATGTAATTTTTATTTTTTCTTCTTGTATTCATAACATATCCCGTATTGATTTATTTATATTAATATTGTTATAATATAGATAATTTAAATACAGACTCAATAACGCATTCTGATTTAATGACTCAACGTAACTAAAATTTATTAATTGATTGTGTTGTAAAATTTTTAATATTAAAAAGCGCTCATACATATTCATTTATTTTTAAATTATAAAGAATCTCGATCAAATCAAATAAATACTGCAACGGAAGATTCTGATCAACAACTACTTCGACCTCCGAAAAAAAAACCAGGCAGAAAACCTTCAACGAATACTGCTATCTCTGTAAATTTCTAATCATATATATATATATATATTCACATATTGCGCATATTTGTTTATACGATAAATTATTAAATGTATTTCAAATTAAAAAAACAGAAACGTAAAGCACAAAATCGGGCTGCTCAACGTGCATTTCGTGAAAGAAAAGATCGTTATGTTAAAGATCTTGAGGTTAAAGTGAAGGAGCTTGTATCTATAACAACAAAAAATACTCAAGAAAACCAGCAATTAAAAATACTAATAGATCAATTGCAAGCAGAAAATTTTATTTTAAAACAAACAAACTTCACTTTTGAATTTCCTTTGAACAACAACAACAACAACAACAAACCGTCATTATTCCCTACTGAAACATTTGTAAATAATAATACCATGGTTACTAGTAGTGATGATCAAAATTATAAATCTAAAACGGCATCAACCTCTCATCAAAATCAACCTTCTTCTGCTACCACTAACAACAATGTTACGGATTCTTTTGTCGATCCTTACACGCCGCCTTCTTCAAATTCTAGTGACGATGAATCAGCATCGTCTCCAAAATCATTTTATACAACGGCAAATTCAACAATAGTCAATAACAATAACAATCATCGTCACCATAAACATTCAGCGTCATTTGACAACATACAAGATATACAGCAATATTTGTTACTATCAGATAACAATAACAATAACAATAACCATAACAATAACAATAACAATAATAATAATAATTTACCATTAAATAAATCATCAGATGACTTTCTTCTTCCGGCTTATAAATTAAATTCTTCTAATCACCAAGGTGAAAATAAATCTTCTAATACAAAAAGACCATCAGTGGATAGAACAAGATCGTCATCAGAGCCAATACCATATTCAGCATCTTACGAACCATCATTGCTAGTAGACGTCAAACCAAATAAAATTGTACATGCTAAACCTCAAAATGCAGAAGAATTTTGTAAAAAATTTCTTGATAATGATGATGGCGACGATAGCAATCAACAAGATTCATCATTATCTGATATTATTAATATAATAAAGGAAGAAAAAGACCCCAATATTGGATTAACATTACCACCAACACCTACAACAGCAACATTTACTACAAATAATCGAGACTATAATTCCAATTCTACTGTCCAACAGTTAACTCCTTTTACCGAAACCCTTCCTCCTTTACCTCCACTTTTTGAAGAAAACTTTCGAAATTTTGGAAGTTTTTCTCCAATGGCAACTACAACACCACCCGATAGTAATAATCACAACAACACCAGCAATAACGTTTATTATTATTTTAATAATCACAACACTAACGGCACAAATAATAATCGTAACACTGGTAATCACAACGCTAATGGTACCAATAACAATCATCTTCGTAACACTAGCCTAAATCATAACCACAACATTAGTAGCATCAATAATAATCATAATAATTATCACAACAAATTTAATAATAAGAAATTATTATCATGTAGCAAGTTGTGGGAAAGGATTCAACAACATCCCAAATTTGATGACCTTGGAGGTGATGAGATTGATAGATTGTGTTCAGAATTGAAAACTAAAGCTAAATGTTCCGCAAATGGTGGTTTGCGTGTTCTTGCCGAAGATGAGTTAGAAGCAGTTTTAGTGAAATTAGAAAAAAACAACTAAAATCAATTTAACATTCAAAAAAAAAATTAATTAAACTCCAAAAAAAAAACAAAAATAACTTGGCTATAAATTAAAAAAAAAAAACAAAACTTATATATATATATATATGTATATATACACATTAGTTATTCTTTAAAAAAAATTGCTTCTAATAAATAAAATGAAATCAATTTTATTTTTATTATTAGAATTAGAATTGAATTAGAATTGGGTATTATTTTTATAATTGTTGAATAGCATTTCAATTTGTAATATTTTCTTTTAATTTAATAAATCTGAAAGAAACTTTTTTCAAAGCAGTATCCACATACATTAGTATTAGTGGAGGTGTATTAAATTTCAAAGTACCGTGTTCAGATTTTTTTTATGAAGAATAAAAAAATTCATGCAAATATGTTATTTTATAACAATTGGAATCTTTTATAAATTTTAAGAGCATCATATAATGAATGATCAATTATTAGTTGAACCTTTTCTGACCGAGAAACTTCCATTGGAGCTAATGGTTTGTGTATATTGTGGGTATGACTTTATAGTGTAGCCACATTTTGAATGATTGGTTGATACATTCAACGGATCCTAATGATGATAATTCTATTACTATGGGATTGCACACCATACACAAGTTTGTATTTATTAGTCACTCCAACAGTGCAATACATTCTATGCTCTCCTTCATCTTACCACCCTGTATACCAGTTGTGCCAATTGACATAACTGGCAGAATAAATGTGTGCGATTCTCAACATATATACAATTACAATCACAAGTTATAAACATATTTACACACAAAAGCACAATATTTACTTACGTGCATAATAAGCAGCAAACTTCAATTCATCCAAACT